TCACATTTCACTATTTCACTTGGCTCAGTTGCAAAGGTTAGTTGCTAGGAGTCAAAAATTACTTGATAGCTTTTAATCAGGGAAGAAATCGTGCAAACGCCAGACAACCGTGTTTTTCGCCACCTATCCGGAGTCAAACAGGCAACATCTGTGCCCAGAAGGCGGACTCTGTGGTTGACTTTAAAGGAGTTAAAACCATAGAGTACTATATTGCTAGAAAGGAAAGCAGGAGTAGAAGAAAGAAAGTTCAGTTGCCTCTTGAAAGAGGACCTTTTGAACAGCAGAACTTCCTCTTCCTGATCACTCATGGGAGGAAGATGGTGTGTATGGAGGATTTTGTGCTCTTCCCAGATTGAAGCAGCAGCTGGAAGGTGAGTGGAGGGCAGGTCGGAGGAGAAGCCGGGAGCAAGCGGGGCTGTTTGGTTTCCTCCACGGCGTCCAAGCAGAGAAGCAACTCGGCTGAAGCATCTCAGCTGCTGCTGCTGCAAATCCCTTCCCTCCCCAACTTTTAAGTCCACTGGTGCTGCAGGCTGTTAAACTGGGGGCTGCGATTTTCTGCTGGTGGGAAGATTTCAAAAGTCTCCTTCTATTATTACATTTGATTAGTGCTTAATAAATATCTTGTTGTCTGGTCCAATTTGTTTGCTTAATAATACAAGTTACATTCTTAGTGTCTACCCTTTTCTCCAACCACTGAGGAAATAAATTCCATGTTTGAAAATATTCTGTATCTTCTTTCTCTTTGATCCTCCATGTAAATCTGTCCATTTCAGCACAGTCCAATATCTTCTTGATTATCTCTTTGTCTAGTGGTCTTTCTTCATTCTTCCAGTGCTGAGCAAATACAATCCCTGCTGCTGTTAATACATGCAATGTTAAATATACACTTTGCTTATTAAATTTTTCTGATATTATACCTAATAAAGAGAGTTTAGGATTAAAATCTACATGTTTCCCTAACATCTTTTCTAACCAAGTGTGTAGTTTTGCCCCAATTTATTTTTTCTTCAACACAAGGCCACCACATATGGTAATGCAAGCCACATGTTTGATTACATTTCCAACATTTACTGGACATATTTTTAAACATTTTTGCTAATCTAGCTGGTGGTAAATGCCATCTATAGAACATTTTATATCAGTTTTCTTTATAAGAAGTTGCCATGGTCGATTTATAATTTCTTTCCCAAAGATTTTGCCATTTCTGTAATTCTATATTATATCCAAAGTTTTCTGCCCACTGTATCGTTTCTTTCATTTGTTCATCCTCCATTTTAGAATTTAATAGAAAGTTATTTAGTTTCTTAAACAGTTTTTTATCAGAGGTCAACAGCATCTGATCAAACATTGTTCTTTCTAAAAATCATATATTTTCTCATCTTTATCATACTCGATTGCATTTGCAGCTGAGGCCACCATGATAATTCAGTACCCTGGTTTAGATTTTAATTTCCCTTCGGTATCCAAAATATCTTTATATGTCCATTTTTTTCATATTTTACTTGATTCGGGTGAACAAACGCTTCCATTGTTGAAAGCAATCCTGGGATTCTTAAGTAGATTTTAACTTTTTATCTTTTTGCACAGAAAAAGTTTATTAGTTTATTTCTTATATAATGATTTTGAAACTATCTATGAATCTTATTCTTCTCATACCATAGAAATGCATGCCATCCAAGTTGCAGATCATGTCCTTCTTGGATTCTTGTAGCATTTTCAGTTTAATCCTGGCTTTCCTTTCTTGCCAAATAAATTTCAAAATCAAAGTATTTAAATCATCAAAAAATTTCTTCTCTATTTTTATAGGTGCTGTTTGGAACAAGAAGAGCAGTTTTGGTAAACTCTTCATTCTCACAGTAGGTATTCTTCCTAACACTGATAGTTGTAAGTTTTCCCATTTTTATAGATCTAATTTTATTTGATTAAGTAATGCTATGTCGTTATCTTTTATCATTGCACATCTTGCTGTTAGGTATATTCCCAAATATTTAACTTTTCTAGCTATTTGAAAATCTATTTTTTACAATTGTTCTTTTTGCTTAGATGTAAGGTTTTTAACTATAACTTTTGTTTTTTCTCTATTTATCTTCAATCCTGCTACTTCTCCAAATAACTAAATCCTTTTCAATAGTTTAGGGAAGACATGTTAAACTCACAAGGTCACACTACGTTGCGCGACATATCGGGATTGTTTTGCCATTGCCGGCAATGGGGCGGGTACAGTTTTTGGGTGACACGTCCTGCCTGCGGGCTGGCAGTCTCCAATGTTTTGCTTTTTTTTTTTGTCTTTTTATAGCTTCCATCAGTTCCATCATTGTTATTTTTTCGTTCAGCATGTTTTTAATGTTTTCTGGAATTTTTGGTACATTGGCTTTTTCCATATATTGTATTGTTTTTTCCAGAGATCTTTTTTTTTCTATGTCATATAGTTTTTCATAATATTCTTTAACTATTTTTATTGCCTCATTTTGGAGTTGCACATCTCCCTTCACATCTTGCAATTTGTTTATCAACTTTTTCTCTCTCTCTTTTTTCAATTTGTAAGCCAGCCATCTTCCCGGTTTATTTGCATTTTCGGAAAAAAAAAAGTTTTGCTCTTTTCATTTGTTGAGCGAATTCTTCTGACTATTAGGTTTAGTTTATGTTTAATTATCGCCATTTGTCTTTTAAGAGTTTTTGTGTGGATCTTTTTGAAGTTCTAGCTTCAATTTTTTAAACTCTTCCCTTTGCATTGTACACTGTGCCTTTTTCTCTTTATTCTTTTCAGCCGTATAAGTTATAGCTAATCCTCTGAAGTAAGCTTTGTGTGCATCCCATATGTACTGGAGTGAAGTGTCTTCTTTTTTATTTTCTTTGAAAAAGAATTCCATTTCCTTTACTGCTATTTCTGAAATTCTTTCTCCTTTGATAAGAGTTGATTCAATGTCCACCTTGATTTCTTCTTTACTCCTGTCCAACTCAGCTTTATTGGATTATGATCGGCCCAAATATAGGGTTCTATCTCAATGTCATGTATATTAGTTCTTAATTTAGGGGACATCCATATCATATCAATTCTAGACCATGATTTGTGTCTATCTGAATAAAATGTATACCGAGTCTTTTTTGGGGTTATTTCTCTCCAGACATTCTATACGCAGATTTCTCCTGCCATTTTAACAAACACTTTAATCTGTTTCTTCCTTTCCCCCCTATTTTACTACTTTTGAAATCTAATTTTTCATTCACAATTGCGTTCAAGCCTCCTACTAAACAATTATTTTGATATTCCATTTCAAATATTTTCCTGTGTAGTTTTTGATAAAATATTTCTTGTTTATTGTTTGGTGCATGTATTGCTACTAGCAACATCTTTTTTTATTAAAAATTATTAAAATTACCATTAAAATTCTTTGTTCTTTCTTCAAGGTCCCTTCCAACTCTATTATTCTGTTATCCATCAGTTAAAGCCGCCACATCTCTAAAATTAGCTCAAAAGCTTTGACTGTAAACTATTTTGGGACATTTTTCCAGGCCTGAAAGACATAGATTTTTTCCATATATACTTTTGTAGGAGTGTGTATCTGCATTTCTCTCTGTATGCATATATCTGGAATTATATAATCTATCCCCATCATTTCCAGATGTATTTGATGATAACCCTTTGCATTGCTAAGGATTTGTGATTGACCAAAGTCAACAAGAAATTTTACCCAAATCGGTAGTCTTCCATGTATCAGATGAATCATAAACAATGTAAAAGATTATTCTATCATTGTGGCATGTTTGCTTTTTCATTGTGATGTACACTTCTCTTCTTTTTTCACACCTCTCACCATTTTATAAAAATTAAAGTAACACTTTTCCTTAAATCTTATAGAAAAGAGGATGGGAAGAAGAGCGCTCTGGACAGCTAAGAATAACAAGCAACATTGAAAAGGAAAGCAAACCAAGCCAGAAATCAAAATATTTTCTTCAGAAAACCACACAATTCTCCTCTTCCTCCAGCAGCTCTTAGGAGAAAAAGAGAGAAAATCAAGAAAAATTTCAAACTGGAATACGTAGATTATTCAGAACTCAAGGATACTTTACATGAAAAGTGAAGGGAGATTATTTTTCATTCATTAAAAGAGTGAAATATCTGGAAGTCAGTTGGCGGAAAAGGTGAGTAGGAAAGTCACGTAGAGCAGAGAGTCATATAGGCCTCGCACTGTGAGGAA